TACTTCACCATGATCATACAGGTACTAAGTGATGAAACCAGGATTCAAACGTAGATCAGTCTGACTCTAAAACCTGTCTCTGTCCACAAGGCAAATGTGATTTACTGCATGCACACCTGCTACTTGACCTCAGCACTGCAGATTCAAAGATTAGATACAGTCTCTTTTGTGAGAATCAAAGAGATAACATGGGAAGTAACCATGGTGGATTGTATTTTCCCAAAATGGCCCCCCGCCCCCTGACCTTAGGTGGGACTTTGTGCTTTCCTGCCTTGGTGAATAGAAATGTTGCTGCCTGACTGCAGAGGCTGAGGAGGGACAGTCCTGCCGCCATGCTGTGAGAAGTTACCCATGGAGAGGAGTAGAACTTCCGGCAGCCAGCATCACTCACCAGAAATGTGTGAACCCTCATCATTCCATCTGACACCTGCCACAGACATCAGGGGCAGAAAGGCTATGCCCACTGCACCCTCTCAGTCTCCGGCACACAAAATCTCTGAGCATCATGAGTGGCTCCATCCTGAGTGATGTCATCATAGTGATGCCACTGAGTTCTGGGGCAAATGGTTACACAGCTGGAATGAGAACTTTGTAAGCTGTAAAGTGCTATACACGTGTAAAACGTTATTAGTAAACCTGAGTTTGGCACAACAGGATTGTATCAGTATCTGAGGAAGTAATCTTGTGTCTCAGGCTGAGTTCTTCCCAAAAGCAGAAACTGCAACAAAGGTTTGTGTGCAGGAACACACATTTAGGAAGTGATCCATGGGCTCAGGCATAGGGGACTGGGAAGAATGAAACTGGGAAGGAGGCTCAGCCAGTCCAAGGCTGTGTTGTTGAGCTGACACCACTGTGGGCAGCTGAGGCTCAATATCACTGGAGGCCTTCTGAGGAACCTGTAGAATGAGCCTCAGGGCTATGGGGAGACTGTGTCTACCCATCCGCTATCAGCTGTAGGTTGTCCCCAGAGGATGTTAATTCCTTGCACCTGCCGGTTTGCAGCTGTCCCAGAACAGCTTGAGCAGCTCTGCCTGGCAGGGAAGCCCAGGGAAGAAAGCTAAATCAGGCACTGAGAGATTACAGCTGGACTGACAGGCTGTGAAATGGAGCATAAAAGATGACCAACACAATGTGGCATTAAATAATTCTTCAGGCAATGATTGCATTTGATGTCCTGGACAGAGGCTCACAGGGATAACTTCTGCCTGGTCGGTACTTTGCCTACTGGCCTGCTCAGGCCTCTCTGGTCAAGCCTGTGCAGTTCCAGGCCTGCCTGAGCAAGGCCCTAGTGTGGCCCTAGTGTGCTGGAAGCCACCATCCATCAGAAGGGCCAGCTGCCTTCTCTGGGCCCTGTGGGTGATCTCTGGTCATCACAGTGATCCGGGGGAGGGCCTGGAGTCAGGGCATTCGCTGCCTCTCAGGGGCCAGGCTCCAGCCACAGATTTCCAGCTTCGGCCCCTCACAGCAGCATCTCGGGAGGCTGGCAGTGCCCAGTGGACCATGCTTTTTGGAGATTGGGGCTTGAAAAGCAGCCTTCTGAAGGAAGTCAATGTAGAGGATGAGTTTGCTTTGTTCAGACCCTTGGGTAGTGGTGGTGAGGAAACCCCCTGGAGCAGGTACCTAAAGTAGGGGGTGAGCATCTTGGGTCCAGGATAGGGCTGAGGCCTGGGCCAGACCTTAGATCAGGCAAACTCTGCACAGCCTCCACCTCTAGGGACCCGGTCTGCCGGTTAGACCCCTCTGCCCTGCTCTTCTTTGGGATAGTCAACTCCATCACTCACCCTCTGGGGCATTTAATTCTTAGCAGTCTTTGTTTGTTTGTTTGAGACACAGTCTCATTCTGTTGCCTAGGCTGGAGCGCAGTGGTACAATCTCAGTTCACTGCAACCTCCGGCTCCCGGGTTCAGGTGATTCTCATGCCTCAGTCTCCCAAGTAGCTGGGATTACAGGCACGTGCCACCATGGCTGGCTAATTTTTTGTTGTTGTTTTGTTTTTTGTTTTTGAGAAGGAGTCTCGCTCTGTGGCCCAGGCTGGAGTGCAGTGGTGTGATCTCGGCTCACTGCAAGCTCCGCCTTCCAGGTTCACACCATTCTCCTGCCTCAGCCTCCCAAGTAGCTGGGACTACAGGCACCCACCACCACACCCAGCTAATTTTTTGTATTTTTAGTAGAGATGGGGTTTCACTGTGTTAGCCAGGATGGTCTCGATCTCCTGACCTCGTGATCCACCCGCCTCGGCCTCCCAAAGTGCTGGGATTATAGGTGTGAGCCACCACGCCCGGCCTAATTTTGCATTTTTTAGTAGAGACAGGGTTTTGCCATGTTGGCTAGGCTGGTCTCGAACTCCTGACTTCAGGTGATCTGCCTGCCTCGGCCTCCCAAAGTGCTGGAATTACAGGTGTGAGCCACTGCGCCTGGCCCTTAGCAGTCTTATTTCAATAGTTTGAAATACAGAAACGGGCTCCACACAGCAAAACCTTGTTTCCTTTCTTCCTGTTACATGGCATGGGGACTGGCCCCCAGTCATCTGCAAGGGGGAAGGCTCTGTGCCCCAGGCCCCGGGAGCTCAGAGAGGGAAGGGTGCTTGGATCAGCATTCTGGGTTCAAGGAAACACGTTTCTTCTGAGAGGTCAGGGAGGGGTTATATCTCAGCAGAAGGAATTTAAATGTAGAGAACTTCACAAATTACACCAATATCAACAACACTCCAATGCACCGAGCACCTACTGCAGACAAGGCATTGAGCTTCCAGTTGGAGATGCTAAATTGGAACTTGTCAGGACTGGCTAAGAACCTAGCCCCCTGCGCTCTCCCGATGTGCTCCCTCCTTCTTCATCCCAGGGTGGCACGTGGTCGCCCTGGAGCCCCCCAGCTGGGAGGAGGCTTTGACTCTGCTGCTGGTGCCGGTCAGTCCTCAGGTTTGCCCAGGACAGAGTGGTTTTGTTTTCCGGGATGCAGGACTTTCTGTGCTAAAACCAGGAAATTCCCATGCAAATCAGAAAGTTTGGTCACTGTAGGAGAGTGTGCTGGGCCTGCAAGATGCCCCTGTTTGAAGGAGACAGGCTCACAAACAGGCAATCACAGCAAAGCAGGTGAGTGTAGGCTAAGGGGATCACACAGGAGGGGGAAGGCTTCCTGGTACACGTGCACCTAGGCTGAGTCTTAAAAGGAGGGTATGAGCCTTCAGAGAAAAGAAACCATTATAGACATAGGAGCAGAAGGTGCATGAGGCAGAGACTTCAGGCCTCCCAGGATCTGTGCGAGACTTTCTTTAGGTCCTGCAGACCTCAATGATGCAGATTCTAAGGCTGATCTGTGCCCCCTCCCCTGGGGTTGCACCCACCCTTTCTGGAGCCCACACAGGCTGCTGATTTCTTGCACATGGTCCTGGCTGGCTGGCAGCCTTTGATGCGTACTCGGGGAACTGGGCAGGGTTATCCTGGGAAAGGTGGTGAGCCTGAGACCATGAGGGAAAACTGCCTTCATGGGGGCAGAGTTCGGGAGTGGGCCAAACAGTGGTGTTGGAAAATTCCCAGAGCCTGAATTTGGAGACCTTGACCCACTGCAGAAATCTGTGTCTAAGGAGTGGAATTCTACCCACCGTCCCGCCCCCATATTACACGGTGATGTAGGGAGTGGTGGGCACGCAAGTAAAAGAAGTCATCTCTTGACTGTTCCCAAGGACTTGTACACTATTTGTATTTATTTGTACATCCTGTTTTGGGGCCAAATGTCCTGATAGAGACAACTTTAGCTTCTAGAATTCTAGGCCAAAAAGTCTTATCTGATAAGATCCAGGCACGTTACTCTTGGATGGCCATCAAGCTCCCACCTTCTTGAGTGCGACCCAGAGGTTTACCATTGGATTTCCCAGCCCTGAAACACGTTAAAGGTCAAACCTTGTCCTCAAAGTCTCTGAGTTCTCCTTGTGATGATTGATAAGGCAATAAGGTGGTGTCTCAAAGTGTGCCTGGGCCCGTTTGTATCGCAACTTCCTGAGCGGCTCACTACAAGCACTATTCCAGGCCATGTTCTAGAAATACTGAATCGTAAGCGCTGGGGGTGGGGCCCAGGAATCAACATTTTGTACAATCACCTTAACAGATTATTCTGCTTAATGTGAAAATTCTCTCTTGGGGGCAGTTGCTATTTATTTTAACAAAATACAAGTTTTATGTCAAGGAAATTCATCTCCACTGTAAAATGTCCAGGATCCATCTAACACAGCATTTCCCAGCCTCAGTATGAATGAAATTTCGAACCAGATAATGCTTTGTCAGGTGCATTACAGAATGTTGACCAGCATCCCTGGCCTTGAGATGCCAGTAGCATCCTGCCGTCATGACAACCAAAAATTAAAAAAAAAAAAAAAAGGTTGCCAGACATCACCCAATGTCCCCAGAGGGAAAAATCCGCCCCCTCTAACTAAAGGGGCTTCCTCCTAAAATCTGACGTCAGTCCAGCGTAAAGAATATGCCTCCCCATTCTTGGAATGACCTCTACCAGGCTCTGCCCACACTGACCCCAGTCCTCTTCACCAGTCTCCAGCTGCACATGCGCTGAAGCCAGTTCCCACCCTCACTCCAGCCGGGTTTCCTGCCTCCCTTCCCATCGCCCACCCTCCCACCTCACCACTCTCCTTTCCTGCCCCATCGCCAAAATGCCCCACCATCCAGCCTCGTAGGACTATGGAAGAACAACACAGCCCACCCACTTACGTGGGGTGCTGACGGGGCTCCAAGGAAATGGCCTCTGGGGAAGAATTCTCCTTTTGTAAAAATGGGATGTTTATTTTTGTTTTGATTATGAAGTGAACATGGTCACAGTTGAAAATCTGGCAAGTTCAGAAAAGTATAAAGGTCGCTCAAAATCCCACTGCCCAGCCAGCTGACACTGACGTCTAGGAGGTGTCCCACTTTGGCTCTTATTGACTCCTGGTGTGTGGACAGGGGTCCCCAGGTAGACAGAACCCCTGACCAAGGACAACAGGAGGCATTTGCTCTTCCAGGGTAAGCATCTGTTTTATTCGGATCTGTGTGGCTCAGGGGCTCCAGGCAGCCCGTTTTGCAGGAGATTCAGCACCTAGTGTCTTCCTGCCTCATTCTTCCAAGAACCTGCTCCTGCAGGTGGAACATCAGAACTCATCCTTGATGTCGAAATGGGGCTGGTCTTCAGGCTTAAAGTCCAGGTTAGGGCTGCCATCCTCATTGAGAATTCTCCGGGCTGTGTAGCCAACGATGGGGTATTTGGCTTTGTACACTTTGGTGAAGACCTCATCCAGGGCCTCTAGTTCCTTGGCCGTGAGACCCGTCTTGGGGAGAAAAGCACAAGACAGACAGGAGATGGGGTAAGTGGATGGTGTGGGGCACTGGCCTTTCTCCATCCCTGCCTTGCCTCCCACATCCCTAATGCAAGAGAAAAGATATCTCAACAAACCAAATAATGGGCAAATGGCTTAAGAGACACTGCTGTGTGGGGCGGGTGCGAGGGTATAACATACGGGGAGCAATGCTTCATCACACTTTGCAGTTTGACTGATGCAAGGATGCAAGATTCCAGAGAGCACCATGACCATGCTGGGGTGGGGCAGGGCGTGCCCTGCTGCATCTGCATCCCCTTCCCCCACTTAATCCTCCCTCTCTCTACACTCCTCCCATTATACATTTGGCACCTTCCCCTTTCTTAAGTTCTTCATTCATTTTTGTAATATTGTTACATCCATTTTGTTATAAGTTTGGCTCATCTCAATTTATCTCAATGTCAGTTTGATGTTGAGCACTGCTGGGGGAAATTCCAGCCTTACTGTTGGGATTATTTAGACCTTGAATAGGTTTTAAAAAAAAATTTTTTTTTTTTCTTTGAGATGAAGTCTCACTCTGTTGCCCAGCCTGGAGCACAGTGGCACGATCTCAACTCACTGCAAACTCTGCCTCCTGGATTCGAGCAATTCTCCTGCCTCAGCCTCCCAAGTAGCTGGGATTACAGGCATGCGCCACCACACTCAGCTAATTTTTGTATTTTTAGTAGAGACGGGGTTTCTCCATGTTGGCCTAGCTGGTCTCAAACTCCTGACCTCAGGTGATCCACCCACCTCGGCCTTCCAAAGTGCTGGGATTACAGGCATGATCCACCACTCCCGGCCTAAAAAACGTTTTAATGTTACCTTCTCCTTCGCAGAAATATGAGCATAGAGGGAGACCTTTCTTCCCAATCTAGTTCATCCACAAAGCTACCAAGTATGGCCTGGGGAATGGGTCTCAGAGACTAACAGCAAGACCGTAAGGGGCTGAGGGGACGGGGTGGCAGGTACAGATCATAAGGAGCATTAGGTTGCCAAAGCAGGTTGGGGCCAAATTGTGATGATCACTGAGTTGAATCACAAGTTTGTAAGAGTTTGGACTTAACTCTAGGCAACAGACAGCCACGGAAGGTTTCTGAGTCAAGGTGACATGGCAGGATAATCTATTTCAAGAAAATGCCTGGCCACCACACCAAGCGGACCACAGGGGTAAATAAGCCAGTTAGGAAGCCTTGCTTCTGCCCAGAGGTTAAAAAAAAAAAAACAAATAAACGAAGGAAAGAAAGAAAGAAAAAAAGAAAAAGAGAAAAAGGCATGGACAAGGAGGTAGAGCATTTTAACAAAGGCTTATAATCTGGCTCACAGTGTCATGGGTGAGGTCTGCAGGATCCAAGGACATCTTGGCTACCCCTCTAGTGGAGTCTTTCCCGGTCAAGGCATTGTAAGGGGCTCCTCGTCCATAAAACTCTGTAGTGGGGAGGAAGGAAGAGACGTGAGTGTCGGTTTACATGCAGAGTAACCAGGAGCCTGCACGTGGGGGGGCTCCCAAGGCCCCCACCCAATCCTAAAAAAGGCTCCAGGCTCACGGAGAGGCCAAACAATGGCGACATAAAGTCCAGTAAGCCACCCCAGCCATCAGGTTGGATTCCATTCATTCTAAATGTGAAATAAGTCACACATGCAGGCTGAGCAGGGATTTTCAGAAAATACAAAATGAGAATAGTCCCCCTAAAATTTTTTTTTTGACAGGGTCTCACTCTTATCCAGGCTGGAGTACAGTGGCACGATCTTAGCTCACTGCAATCTCCACCTCCCAGGTTCAAGCGATTCTCCCACCTCAGCCTCCAGAGTAGCTGGGACTACAGGCATGCACCGCCATGCCCAGCTAATTTGTGTATTTTTTGAAGAGATGGGGTTTCACCATGTTGCCCAGACTAGTCTTGAACTCCTGAGCTCACATGATCCACCCACCTTGGTCTCCCAAAGCACTGGGATTACAAGCATGAGCCACTGTGCCCAGCTCCCCTCTCGCTCTTTTTTTTTTTTTTTAACCTAAGTGTTAATACTGAGAAGATAGTCTCTTAAAAATATAAGAGACGCAGGCTGGGCGTGGTGGCTCACACCTGTAATCCCAGCACTTTGAGAAGCCAAGATGGGCAGATCATTTGAGGTCAGGAGTTCAAAACCAGCCTGGCCAACATGGTGAAACCCCAGCTCTACTAAAAATACAAAAAATTAGCTGGGCATGGTGCTATACACCTGTAATCCCAATAACTCGACAGGCAGAGGCAGGAGAACTGCTTGAACCTGGCAGGTGGAGGAGGTCGCATCACTGCACTCTAACCTGGGCGACAGAACGAGACTCTGTCTCCAAAAAAAAAATTAAAGATGCAAACAAGAAAAATGTTCCTTCTTCTTAAATGTTGGTGGAAGCCAAATCTATTTCCATTCAGCAGTGTTTGTTATCAAATAATAGATGAACCAATATAAAACTACCTCCAAGATATAATTACACTATATCTGCCATATAGTTACACTAAATGGCACTAAAATGTTCTGTAATGTACTATAATGCCAACTCTTTACTAAAGAACACTTCTCTCATTGCTTCAACTAGGGTAAATCATCAAGTTTGAATTTAATTCTACAGGCAATGGAAAGCCATGGAAGGCTTTTGAGTAATATCATTATCAGGGGAAAAAACCCCTACTGAAGTAAAACACTGACAAAGATTAACTCAATCTGCTCATTTAAAATGGAAGGAAGGCCAGGCGTGGTGGCTCACGCCTGTAATACTAGCACTTCGGCAGGCCGAAGTGGGTGGATCACGAGGTCAGGAGTTCAAGATCAGCCTCGCCAAGATGGTGAAACCCCATCTCTACTAAAAATATTAAAAAATTAGCCGGGCCGGGCGCGGTGGCTCAAGCCTGTAATCCCAGCACTTAGGGAGGCCGAGACGGGCGGATCACGAGGTCAGGAGATCGAGACCATCCTGGCTAACACGGTGAAACCCCGTCTCTACTAAAAATACAAAAAACTAGCCGGGCGAGGTGGCGGGCGCCTGTAGTCCCAGCTACTCCGGAGGCTGAGGCAGGAGAATGGCGTGAACCTGGGAGGCGGAGCTTGCAGTGAGCTGAGATCCGGCCACTGCACTCCAGCCTGGGCTACAGAGCAAGACTCCGTCTCAAAAAAAAAAAAAAAAAAAAATTAGCCGGGGGGTGGTGGTGAGTGCCTGTAATCCCAGCTACTCAGAAGGCTGAGGCAGAGAATTGTTTGAACCCAAGAGGCGGAGTTTGCAGTGAGCCAAGATCGTGCCACCACACTCCAGCCTGGGTGACAGAGTGAAACTGCATCTCAAAATTAAATTAAATAATTAAAAATAAAAAAAATAAAATGGAATGAAACAGACTTACCTAATGTTCCCTCCCTTTCCTCACACCTCCAAGTGCTGCTCACTCTGGCTTCTGTGCTCCCTGGAAATGAAGATTCAAAATGCCACACCACTTACCCTTTCCGGAGGTGACATCAAACACCACTCCCTTCACTGCCAAGTAGATGGGCTGATCTTCCTAGAAAGCAGGGGAGAAGCTGTGAAGAGGAGGGGAAGAGCCGGCTCTTCCAGTGCAACGTAGTTAAATCTTCTCCCATCACAAGCTGAGCAAAGAGCAGTGGGTCAAGTCCCAGTGGCCTTCTGTTAAGCCTGGTCCTTGGCAAGCTTGCCACCTGCCTGGGCAGCGTCATGCCCATGCACAGAAATTTGGAAAAGTCATAAAGTCTCATGACAAGAATGTGGCAATCCTCTCCTTTATAAAGAAAATCAGAGGCCAGGCACAGTGACTCCCACCTGTAATCCCAGCACTGTGGGAGACCAAGGCGGATGGATCACCCGAGGTCAGGAGTTCAAGACCAGCCTGGCCAACATGGCAAAACCCTATCTCTACTAAAAATACAAAAATTAGCTGGGCATGGTGGCACATGCCTGTAATCCCAGCTGCTCAGGAGTCTGAGGCTGGAGAATTGCATGAACCCTGGAGCCAGAGGTCATAGTGAACCAAGATCATGCCACTGCACTCTAGCCTGGGCAACACAGTGAGACTCCGTCTCAAAAAAAAAAGAAAATCAGGAACTGAAGCAACTTCATGGAGATGAAAATTCAAAAGAATAGTAAATGATGAATTACTTATCAGTCTAAATTTCCTTTCCTCTTCATCAATAGTCATACATTGATGTAACTGATACGAGCAATCTATTTTATATTTTGCTTCTTATAGGTACTATTCCTTTATATAAACATTCCCACCAAAATGACTGTCACTTAAACAGCTCCATGGGGCCCCATCTTTTTTTTTTGAGACAGAGTTTCGCTCTTATTGCCCAGGCTGGAGTGCAATGGCACGATGTCAGCTCACTGCAACCTCCGCCTTCAGGGTTCAAGAGATTCTCCTGACTCAGTCTCTTGAGTAGCTGGGATTACAGGTACCTGCCACCACACCCGGCTAATTTTTTGTCTTTTTAGTAGAGACAGGGTTTTACCATGTTGGCCAGGCTGGCCTCGAACTCCTGACCTCAGGTGATCCACCCACCTCGGCCTCCCAAAGTGCTGGGATTACAGGCATGAGCCACTGCACCCAGCAATCTCCTTTTTTTTTTTTTTTTAGCAATAAAAGCTTTATCTCCTCCTTAAACTACTTACTTGAAGGTGTAAGTGCTAAGAGGAAGTCATATTAAAGGGGAAGAAAAGAATGTTTAGTGTTTTTGAGGCCTCAGAGTGACATAGATGCCTCACACACATGCCACACAGAGGAATGGCCTTATCAGTAAACAGAGCATGCTGTGGTGGTGAGTTCTGACCCGGTATAGATGGACATCCAAGGATAGCACAGTCCCCAGGGACAGACTCTCAGGCCCAGGAAATGGCAACTGAGAAGGTGGAGGGTGGGTGGAAGGCTTGGGAGTATAAATGCAGATGCAGGAATAGAAGTGACACAGAGACAGCCAGGCACGGTGGCTCCCAGCACTTTGGGAGGCTGAAGTGGGCAGATCACTTAAGGTTAGGAGTTTGAGACCAGCCTGGCCAACATGGTGAAAACCTGTCTCTACTAAAAATACAAAAATTAGCCGGGTGTGGTGGTGGGTGCCTGTAATCCCAGTTACTGGGGAGGCAGAATTGCTTGAACCCAGTAGAAGGAGGTTGCAGTGAGCCAAGATCACACTACTGCACTCCAGCCTTGATGACAGAGCAAGACTCTGTCTCTAAACACACACACACACACACACACACACACACACACAACAAACAAAATCAGCCACTGCACTGCAGTCTGGGTGACAGAGTGAGACTTCGTCTCAAAAACTAAACGTAACTAAAATAACCTCGTGAGGCAGGTATTACTATACCCATTTTATAGGTGAAGAAACTGAGGCTTAGAGTTTACATAACCTGTCAAAGGTTTCTCTGCTGGTAAATAAAAAGTCAGGATTCAGACTCACACCTGTCTGACTCTAAGCCTTTGCCCTTCCTCGGGCAATTTTTCCTTATTGAAAACTTGAATGCCAATCTCTGGCCTGCAATTTGTAGACAGTGAAACCCTGCTATCATAACAGGTGTGTGACAGGGCAAAAGCTAGCGGTGAACATGTGCAAGTGAGATCTCTACCTATCAGGGCAATTTTGACAAGAGCTGAAGAAAACAAGGTCCAAAGAAAGGCACTCTGGAACACACTACCTTTTTTTCCCTATTTTCATTTTTGTTCAACACACTCACTCTGTAACCTGTTATCTACACGAGAGGTCCTCAAAATCACCTCCTCTGTACAACCCTTACTAGAATTACTGGGAGAATGAAGTTTTAAAGAAGCACCAAGGAGATGCTGTCCAGATTTTTTTTCTTTTTTAAAATAGAGACAAGGTCTCACTATGCTGCCCAGGCTGGTCTCCAACTCCTGGGCTTCAGTGATCTTCCCAGCTCGGCCTCCCAAACGGCTGGTACTACAGATGTGAACCACCACACCCCGCCCAGATTTGTAGCAAGCATTCGAAGAGGACTAATATATACCAAAGATTTTTCTATTCCCGTATGTGAATGATTTAGGGAGCCATGCTATGGGATCACTCTGAGGCCCTACGATGCCTAAAAGGAAAGAACTGGCTCTTGGTGTGGTAGATCCAGAACACAGTGTGGTTCTGTGAAAGATACCAGCAGCCAGGACACCCATGCTTCACGGATTTCCCATCTGAAGCTGCCACTGGAGAACCACACAAACCCCTGCATGGGTGTCTGAGCTCTCTCACCTTGAACCACACAGCGGGATGTGTGACTGATAGAGGTGGGTCTGCCTTGGCTCTCATCCAAGAAAGAAGGTTTTATATACAGTAGAAACAAGTCACTCATTGCTAGATGTTTCAGAAAGACTTGCTACACAGTCTTGTTATACAATCCACAATCCCATAGAAGAAACTCTTGGGGATCAGATATGTTTTCAATATGAGAATCTGTCAGATTTTAGAAAGGTGTTATGGGGAACATACCACATATTATGCAATACCTCTAGGGAGGTACAAGGAAACACCCATAATCAAATATGTTAGTATTTCTCCAGTGAAACATGAACATTCACACTAAATGGGATAAAGACTAACGTAGACTCATAGCAGCTCCAACAAGGTTCTGTCACCAAGTGATTTCAGATCAAGTTGGGTTTTGCTGTCAAATGACTTGTGAAAAACAAAAATGTCTAGGTTTCAGAACTTATTAGATTTCTGTAGTGCATGAAAGGACTGCGGACCTGTTATAATGACTCTTGCTTGTATCTTTAAAAAGATAATAAAACTAATAGTAGCTAACATTTATTAAGGCTTACAGTGCTAAGCCCTATTCCAGGCCTATGCTAAGCCTGTGCACACCACCATCTCATTTAATGTGGCATTCACAAAACACCTGCTTAGAGGAGGAACTCTTTTTTTTTTTTTTTTTGGTAGAGGTGAGGTCTCGCTATGTTGCCCAGGCTGGTCTCAAACTCCTGGCCTCATGCAATCCTCCTGCCTTGACCTCCCTAAGTAAATGCTGGGATTACAGGTGTGAGTCACCACACTCAGCCAAGTAGGAACTCTTATTATAACCATTGTGATTATTTATTTTATGTGTCAATTTGCATAGGTTACTGTACCCAGTTATTCAATCAAAGACTCACCTAGATATTACTGTGCAGGTATTTAGAAGTGTTGAACATCTACAATCAATTGGCTTTATATAAGGAGATTATCCAAGATGATCTGGGTGGTCCTAATCCCATAGTTGAAAGATCTTAACAAGGCTGGGTGCAGTGGCTCACCCCTGTAATCCCAGCACTTTGGGAGGCTGAGGTGGGTGGATCACAAGGTCAGTTCAAGACCAGCCTGGCCAAGATGGTGAAACCCTGTCTCTACTAAAAATACCAAAAAGTAGCCGGGCGTGGTGGTGGGCGCCTGTAATCCCAGCTACTCGGGACGCTGAGGCAGAGAAATGCCTGAACATGGGAGGTGGAGGTTGCAGTGAGCTGAGATCACACCACTGCACTCCAGCCTGGGAGACAGAGCGAGATTCTGTCTCAAAAAAAAAAAAACAACAAAAAAAAAACAAAGACCTGTGGGCTACAGCATCTGCTCCTGCCTGAGGGCTTCCAGCCTGCCCCTTCTGATAGCCTGCCCTATATATTTCCAACTTGTCCAGCCAGCCCCCACGATCGTGTAAACCAATCCTTATGATAAACCATTTCTCTATCTATATATAGTTGACCCTTGAACAACACAGGGTTTGAACTGCATGGGTCCACTTATATGTGGATTTTCTTCCACCTCTGCCACCCCTGAGATAGCAACACCAACCACTCCTCTTCCTTCTCAGGATGCAGACCTTTACAATGATCCACTTTCACTTAATAGTAAATATATTTTCTCTTCTTTATGATTTTCCTAAGAACATTTTCTTTTCTCTAGCTTAGATTACTGTAAGAATACAGTATATAATACATATACAAAATATGTGGTAATCGACTCTATTCTTGGGTCTTGTGGTCAACAGTAGGCTATTAGTAGTTAAGTTTTGAGCCAGGCATGGAGGCTCACCCCTGTATTCCCAGCACTTTGGGAAACTCAGGTGGAAGAGTTGCTTGAGCCCAGTAGTTCGACACCAGCCTGGGCAACACAGGAAGACCCCATCTCTACAGAAAATTAAAAAGATAGCTGGGTGTGGTGGTGCATACCTGTAATGCCAGTAACTGGGGAGGCTTAGGTAGGAGGACTGCTTGAGCCCAGGAGGAGGCTGTAGTGAGCTGTGTTCCTGCCACTGCACTCCAAGCTTAGCAACAGAGTGAGACCCTATCTCAAAACAAAAAAAAAAAAGAAAAGAAAAAAGAAAAAAAATTGTAGTTTTGGGGGTAGTCAAAAGTTATACATGGCTGGGTGCACACCTGTAATACTAGCTACTTGGGAGGCTGCAGCAGGAGGATCGCTTGGGCCAAGAGTGCCAGGCTGTAGTGCACCATGACTGTGCCTGTGAAAAGCCACTCACTCCAGTCTGGGCAACATAGCAAGACCCTGCCTCCAAAAGAAAAAGTTATATGCAGATTTTTGACTGCATGGGTGTCGGTACCCCAAACTCCTGTATTGCTCAAGGATCATCTGTACAGATATAGATATCCAAATGGTTCTGTTCCCTAGTGAAACCTTGACTAATGCAGGTATCTTACAGATGAACAAAGTAGAGACTCAGAGAGGTTTAGTAATTTGCCCCAAATCACACAGCAGAACAGGGACTCAAAACCAGGTATGATCCAATGTATTATACAAATTGTGACACCTCTGAGTCAAAGGGGGTGTTATTAATAATTATCCCTGGATAACAGGCATAGACTAGAACAATCTAGGTCAAACAACAGCTCAGCATAGCTTGAACCCACTGCACTCAACTGCCTCTCTCGTCCCTACTCCCCTCCTCTCTCTGGCTCCTTCCTTCCACCTACAGATATCCTCAGGCTCCACTCCCAAAACAATTGTTTCCTAACCCTGTTTCCATCTCAAGGTCCTCTCTCTGTTTCCCTCAGTTAAATTTCAATCTATAACATCAACATCAAAAAACCAAGGGTCTTTTCTCAGTCCTCATCTTGCAGTTCTGGCACTCTTGCTGGAACCTCACTGGTGAACTCTCTCTTTCCTTAGATTTTGTGCCAGCGGTCCCAAAGATCATCGGGTCAGTTGGAGAGTCCCTAGAAGGAAGATTCCAAGAACTCAGCATATAGTTCTACTCACAGCTGGCAAGGAAAAACACAGAGGTAGAATCTAGGGGAATCTATGTGTAGGTTTCCTATGCTCTCTCCCTCCCGTGAGAAAGAGCACACTCTTCCCCCAGCAACAAAACTTGACAACGTGTGCCATTCTTCTGGCAGAACATTCTTCTGCTAGAGATGCCCATTAGACTCAGCACCCGAGGTTTTCAATGGGGGCTGGTCACATAGGGCATACTCTGCCTAGCATATACAGTGTTCAATACTAACCTCAATACTAACCTCACCATCTGTATATACAGCCTAGGCGAGTGAGCCCACCCTTATTGGGTGAGAAATCCAGACACCAGACAAGTCCTACCCTTGCAAGCAGGATTTTCTAAGGAGAGCAGGCCTGTCATGTTAACTTTTTTCTGCACAGATGCCTGGACTCCGAACCATCTGGTTCCCTCTGCTAACGGCAAAAAGGCATCCCTTAACATCCTCACATCCCAGCCATGTCTCCCAGTCCATATAAGGCCAATTAACTCAGGAATTAGGGATACCAGGCCAGAGAGTTTTGAAAAACATCAGGCCCCTTCCAGCTCTACCACTAACAGGTGGCAGGCCTCAGTTTCCTTATATGTAAAAGCAGGAGATGGGTTCCTGCCAGCTCTGAAATGCTATGGTACTATGACCTCACCCCAATGCCGTTCCCCCGCTCCGCATTTAATATCAGCACCCCAGTGGTCCTTGTCATGAGCAGCATCTTGCTGCCACACGACACAGCCATCGCACCAGTCCCAACCAACCCAGGTGGACAGGTGGTTCTGAGTTTTCTGGACGCCTCTAGACTATCGATTGACGTGTGTGGGTGTCTGTGTGTGGGTGGGTGGGTGTGTGTGTGGCGGGGGGGGGGGGTCTCTAACCTCCAGTTCACCCTCTACACTCGCTTTCAGCTTTGGGTGAGCCCCAGGGGCACAGGCATAAAAGTGGGTTTGAGGAGTCCGATGCAGAGGAGGTCTGGGATACAGGAGCAGGAAAAGGAAGTGCAGGCAAAGACTGGCTTATCCCAGGACCTGTCCCAATTCCTGCCTAACCGAGGGAGCAGACTTTGCTTCCCTCCCTCCCTCCCCCGCCACTCCCCACTATGCATGGGCACAGTAAGCACCTCAGCTGATGCTAACATGAAAACCAGAAAGTTCTGAGGTCTGTACGCAGATCATCAACGAAAAGGCGGCTAGAGGGGGAATCTCCCGGGGACCGAGGGGGAAGCTCAGGGTGGGGTATGCGGGCAAAGCGGGGCGCTCCGACTGTTCAGGACTCGCCCTCAACCCTCAGCCATCCGTCCGGGCCTAGATATAGGAGGCCCAGCGGCCCGGGCAGAGCGCAGAGCCGGGGCTCCGGAAGGGGGCGCCCGCCGCGGGCCGCGCGTCCCCCATGCTTCCTGGGCCGCGGGCGCCTCCTGGGTCCCAGCTCGGCTCGCCGCAGACCGGATGCGACCCCGGGTCCCTCGGCCCGTGCCGCCCCGCCTACCTCCTCCCCGCCATAGCGGGCCAGCTCTTCCTCGGTAAAAAGCCGCACTGGGGGCCCCCGCTTGGCAGGGCGCGGAGTCTGCCCAGCCCGGGCTGTGGGCAGTCCCGGGGCCAGCGCTAGGACCAGGGCCAGCGCTGCCAGCGGCCGCAGCCGCCGCCCCGGCGCGGGGCCCGCCATGGTGAGCGCGCAGCGCTTGCCAAGGCCAGCCAGGGCGGCGGGGTCTCAGCACGCGCCCCCGCGGCCGGGAGTCCCAGCACGCACGCCCAGCGGCCCAGAGTCCCGCCCCGCGCCCAGAGCCGGCCAGAGGGCGGGGAACCGAGAACCGACGCCCTCCGCGCGCCTCCTGCGCCTCGGGGTGGGGCTGGCAGGGCTATTCGGGCAGCGCAGCTGGAAACCTGGGAACTAGGATTGTAATCCTGAACTCCTAAATCCAAACTGCAGACTGGAAGTTACCAAAAAATGTCACAGTAGTTCCTTGATCAGATACAAAGATGACAGAGCCTGACATACCAGGACCTGGAAAGCTGTATTTCTAAAATAAGACCCCTGCTTTTATTTTTGGCTGACTTTTTTTCTTCCTACTTGTGTTTTAAGTTTCTGGTTCCCAAGAAGATCTTTGCAAAGGGTAGGGTGCTGTCACCGATATGCCCTGAAATAATAATAGCTAACATTTGTGCCAAACTTTGCTCATTACTTTATGCAACAAATATTTTTTGAGTACCTCCATGTACCAGGTCACTGGGGACTCATCGCTGAAGAAGACAGATCCATGCCCACGTGGAGCTTACATTGTGTGGGCAGATAGACAATAAGATTCTAAGTATTATGTTAGATGGTGGTGAATACTAGGGAGAAAAAGCAGGGCAAAGAGATAGGGAGCACTGGGATGGCCATTTTATTTTATTGTTATGTATTTATTTATTTTTGAGATGGAGTCTGTCACCTAGGCTGGAGTGCAGTGGCACCATCTCGACTCACTGCAACCTCCACCTCGCGGGTTCAAGTGATTCTCCTGCATCAGCCTCCAGAGTAGTTGGGATTACAGGCACCCACCACCATGCCCAGTTAATTTTTTTTTTTTAAATTTTTAGTCAAGATAGGGTTTCACTATATGCTGGCCAGACTGGTCTTGAACTCCTGACCTCAAGTGAACCATCTACCTCATCTTCCCAAAGTGCTGGGATTACAGGCTTGAGCAACGGTGCCCACTTATGGGATGGTCATTTTAAATAGGCAGGTTAGGGAAGGCCTCACTGAGAACATGCTATTTGCCTAAAAATCTACAGGAGATGAAGGAGGCGGTCTAGAGGGAAGAGCTCTTTGGTCAAAGTAACAAGCTCATAAATGTGGAGGAATGAGGATACCTGGCTTGCTGGAGGATCAAGGGAAGGTAAGAGGGGTAGATGAAGTCAGGAAGGAAGTGGGTAAGGGAGTGGGGGTGGATCTTGGAGGCCTCACAGGTTATTTTCCAGACGGGCTTTTACTCTGAGTAAATGGAATAGAGGAATTAACAGAAAAAGGGTCTCATTCCAGACCCAAGAGCAGGTTCTTAGATGTCCGCAGCAAAGAATCAGGGCAAGTTGCAGAGTATAATAGTTAAAGTAGTTTATTAGAAACTATTCCATTTCTAATAATAGTACTACTCCATTTCTGAGTAGTATCCTTGCTTGCAAGTAGTACTAAGCAAGTACTGCTTATATAGGAGCACCCCTGCCTTCAATGTAATGCTTGCTTTTATAGGGCTACAACTAGTGTACTTTATTACAAAGGCCTATGATCAGCTTGTGACAGACTATTAGTATTGTTATTCTCTTGTGTAACTATTGATTTCAGGGAAAATTTATGGGTGTACTGTTATCTTTAGAGTGAAACTCATTTTTTTTTTTTTTTTTTTTGAGACAGAGTCTGGCTCTATCACCCAGGCTGGAGTGCAGTGACGCGATCTCCGCTCACTGCAAACTCCGCCCCCTCCCGGGTTCACGCCATTCTCCTGCCTCAGCCTCCCTAGAAGCTGAGACTACAGGTGCCCGCCACCATGCCCGGCTAATTTTTTTGTATTTTTAGTAGAGATGGGGTTTCATCGTATTTGCCAGAATGGTCTCGATCTCCCAACCTCGTGATCCGCCTGCCTCGGCCTCCCAAAGTGCTGGGATTATAGGCCTGAGCCATAGGCCCGGCCTAGAGTGAAACTCATTTTTAAACTAAGAATGCCTTTTTTCCATTATCTCATTTCCTCAACCATAAACATCTTGTAAAGAGTGGCTATCTTCCTGGGAAGGTCACCCAGCAGATCTGGCTTTATCTGACCTTTATTCAAGATGGAGTCACTCTGGTTAGGACACTTCTGACATAATTCCCTCCTCCTTTTTACAAGGAGACCCTTAATCCTAAGGGGCGTAGGGGGACAGAAATCCATCTTTAGTAACTTCTTCAAGCTGAACAGAAGTGATAATGAAAGGAATGAGGCACATCCCCCATATATCTCCCAACTTCCTGAGCTCAGCACAAACACATTCCTCCAGATTTCTTTCAAACTTCAGAAAAACATCACCTGGGAGATCTCCGATAAGGAATGCTAAATGTATAATGTTAACCAATTGTAATGCAGTAACCGAGAGAACTACCTTGTTCCCTGTAACTTTACATATCCTGTTTACATCGGGCTATAAAAAGCAAGCACTCGCATTGTTCAGGGCCCTCTTGTATGCTGTAAAATGGAGGGACCAAGTTCGAACTTGTAGTAAAGATGCTTGCTGCTTGGCTTTGACTCTGGACTCTGGTGGTCTTCTTTGGGGAACAAACGGTCTGGGTATAACATCAATATTCCTGCCTAACCATTAGGATCCCTTTGCCTAAAGTAGAGAGCTAGCCAGTCAGAAAGCATCTGCATAGTGAGGACCAATCCTACATAATTCTAAGTCCTGGAAAAAGGTGAAATCTAGAAAATTAATGTGTTGAATTTAAAGAAGCATTGAGTAAGCATAACTTTTATTCCTACATAAAAAGTACAATGCAATATATTTCACAGCACAAAACAGAATGGATAGAATTATCCCAAGCATGCTAAACAAAAAAAGTTTCCCAAGGACTACGCAGCTGTTAGAACCAAGCTGATATGGGGTCAACTGACAGCGTGTCAATGGCAGAGATGTGGGTATCTAAGTCTTTTGTGGCCTGAGTAATATTATGTGAATAGTCTGGAATATATATGTAGCATTCTGTTTTGATTATAGTACAAGTTCCCCCTTTGAGCTGCTGTTAACATGTCCAGAGACATAGGTTCATAAGGCTATCTGTCTAATTTGAAATGTTTCTTCAGTCAAGAGGGTAAGGGCATGGGGTATATTATTGAAAACTGCAGCTGTGTTTAGCTACGACTTTGACTTGAAGCTCCGTGTCAATTGTGGCTGCCTGTGGGGAGAAGATAGTGTCAGGCCTCTGAGCCGAAGCTCAGCCATTGTAACCCCTGTGACCTGCACATGTATGTCCAGATGGCCTTCAGGAGCCAAGAAGTCTGGAGTAGCCAAAAAAACACAAAAGAAGTTAAACAGCCAGCTCCTGCCTTAACTGATTGACCAATCTTACAACATTCCACAGTTGGGAGCAAGCCCCCCAAAATCTGCCCATAAATTGGCCCCAAAACTGGCCATAAACAAAATATCTGCAGCACTATGACATGTCCATAATGGCCCTAATGCCCAAGCTGGAAGGTTGTGGGTTTACAGGAATGAGGGCAAGGAACACCTTGCCCGCCCAGGGTGGAAAACTGCTTAAAGGCATTCTTAAGCCACAAACAATAGCATGAGCAATGTGTGTCTTAAGGGTGTGTTCCTGCTGCAGTTAACTAGCCCAACCTATTCATTTAATTCGGCTCATCCCTTCGTTTCCCATAAGGGATACTTTTAGTTAATTTAACATCTATAGAAACAATGCTAATGACTGGTTTGCTGTTAATAAATATGTGGGTGAATCTGTGTTCAGGGCTCTCAGCTCTGAAGGCTGTGAGACCCCTGATTTTCCACTTCACACCTCTATATTTCTGTGTGTGTGTCTTTAATTCCTCTAGCGCCGCTGGGTTAGGGTCTCCCCAACCGAGCTGGTCTCGGCAAGTGACACCCAACGTGGGACCTTGAATCCAGGCCGAAGGGTCGCCGGAGCCACAGTTGGAACGGAAAACTAGCTGGAGGACACCCAAGTACTCTTCTTTTTTTTTTTTTGTTTTGTTTTAACTTTTTTTTTTTTTTTAATTTATTTATTATTATTAAACTTTAAGTTGTAGGGTACATGTGCACAACGTGCAGGTTTGCTACATATGTATACTTGTGCCATGTTGGTGTGCTGCACCCATCAACTCGTCATTTACATCAGGTATAACTCCCAATGCAATCCCTCCCCCCTCCCCCCTCCCCATGATAGGCCCCGGTGTGTGATGTTCCCCTTCCCGAGTCCAAGTGATCTCATTGTTCAGTTCCCACCTACGAGTGAGAACATGCGGTGTTTGGTTTTCTGTTCTTGTGATAGTTTGCTAAGAATGATGGTTTCCAGCTGCATCCATGTCCCTACAAAGGACACAAACTCATCCTTTTTTATGGCTGCATAGTATTCCATGGTGTATATGTGCCACATTTTCTTAATCCAATCTGTCACTGATGGACATTTGGGTTGATTCCAAGTCTTTGCTATTGTGAATAGTGCTGCAGTAAACATACGTGTGCATGTGTCTTTATAGCAGCATAATTTATAATCCTTTGGGTATATACCCAGTAATGGGATGGCTGGGTCATATGGTACATCTAGTTCTAGATCCTTGAGGAATCGCCATACTGTTTTCCATAATGGTTGAACTAGTTTACAATCCCACCAACAGTGTAAAAGTGTTCCTATTTCTCCACATCCTCTCCAGCACCTGTTGTTTCCTGACTTTTGAATGATTGCCATTCTAACTGGTGTGAGATGGTATCTCATTGTGGTTTTGATTTGCATTTCTCTGATGGCCAGTGATGATGAGCATTTTTTCATGTGTCTGTTGGCTGTATGAATGTCTTCTTTTGAGAAATGTCTGTTCATATCCTTTGCCCACTTTTTGATGGGGTTGTTTGTTTTTTTCTTGTAAATTTGTTTGAGTTCTTTGTAGGTTCTGGATATTAGCCCTTTGTCAGATGAGTAGATTGCAAAAATTTTTGGTTCATATGGAACCAAAAAAGAACCAAAAAAAGAACCAAAAAAAGAACCAAAAAACCAAAAAACCAAAAAACCAAAAAAGAACCAAAAAACCAAAAAAGAACCAAAAA